GCACCCCATTGCACCCCACAAGGCCTTCACGACAGGTGGGCCGGGGGACCTCAGGGCTCAGCTTGTGAGGTACAGGTACTCAGGGGCCCTGTGTCCGTGTCACTTGAATCCTCGAATTTGCTTCTCGGGCTGAGAATTAATCCCTGTCACTGGGTTTCACTGGGTGAATGGGGAAAATCCAGCACTCGTAAACCGGGCCAGGTGGCACCACCTGTGATCCCAGAACTCAGGAGGCTGAGGCAGGAGGATCCCTGTGAGCTCAAGGCCAGCCTGGGCTACATAGCGAGACCCTGTCCCAGATGCAAACAAACTAGTAAAGGGCTGATAAGAACCTGCCCTTTTTGCCGTGCTCCTGCTCAGGACCTCATGGTGCCCTGCTCTCCCAGACTCCTCTTTGGAGCCCGAAGCGTCTCCCGCACACGCCCCTGCCGCTCTGCAGTCCGCAGAGACGCTGGAGTCCGTCGCTCGGGCCTGTTGCGCGTTAGAGCAAGGCCCTGCGCACAGCGCTGTCCTTTCGTGCTCTGAATGATTTTATTTTTCCCCAGTTGAACAACTTCCCAGAGAAATAGCACAAAGAAGAGGACTCATAAACAACATCTGTCCAGCTCATGTTATGGGTTATTCGTGTGAAAATTCTGCCTTGTTACTCACACAAGAGCCCCCTTCCCTGGAAAAGAGTAACCTAGGGTTTCCTGCCAGTAAAAGTCGGGAGCTATTTCTTCACTTTGAGTTGTGAGTCCTGTGGTTTACCGGCCAGAGCGAAAGATCCGAGCGAAGGCACAGGCGAAGAGGTGCAGGTGCAAAGGCCCTGCTGTAGGAGGCCTGGAAGTCACCGCGGCTCCACGCCTAGGGCACCCAGCAGCTCGGCACAGCCGGATTCCAGTGGATCTGGCAGGAACTTCCTGTTTGCAGTAGGGAATTAATGGGGGCGGAAAGAGGCAGGGGCGACAAAAGCCAGAAACCTGCACTGGAAGTGCTGTGGATGAGACCGAATGCCGGTTGGAGCCGCGGACCAGGGCCCCGAACCTCTGCCCTGCCCTGGGCTCTGTGTCATGCGGGCTGTGGAGGCTGTGACCTTTCAGTCTCTGAGAATTTTGAAGGATCTGAAACATGAGGCAGAGTGTCAAGAACTGTATCATTACGCCAGGTGTGGAGGCGCACACCTGCCATCCTAGCACAGGGGCGCAGGACACAGACCGGTTACCCCGGGCCGGCAGGGCGCAGCACCGCCCGGGCGCTCAGCCCCGACCCCAGGAGGCGCAGCTCATCCGGGTGTCGCCGGTCAGACCGGCTAGGACACAGCGCCCCGCGTGTGCCCTCGCCGCGGAGATCGGAGATCGGAGCCTCCGGCTTCTCCCGGTCCGGTCAGCGAATGCAGTGCTCAGGATGGGCGAGGAGAGAGCACCGCGCACCTCAGGGCGGGGCCAGGAAAGAGGAGGAGGAGGAGCCTCGCCGGCGCGGGGTGCAGGAAAGCACAGGCGCGCACCCCCCCAATGTCTCCCCTCCCTTCATTGGAGACAGGGTCTCCTATGTCCAGGCTGGCCTTGAACTCACAGCAATTCTCCTGCCTCAGCCTCCCAAGGGCTGGGATTTCAGCCGTCCCCATTCCTAGATTCCACGTTTATTTTTCTTTTCAAAACCATGCCCCCTATACGAGCACATGTACCATATTTCAGCTTATCCTACCACGGCTGCATTTTTCTTGTTTTTCACTTTTAAATTTGTTTTGTTTTTGAGATAGGGTCTCCCTGTGTGTTCCAACCCGGCCTTGAACTCACTGTGTAGTGCAGGCTGGCCTCAGACTCACAGCGCTCCTCCTGTCTCAGCCTTCTGTGTGCCCCCACGCCCGGGTACATTTTTCTTTCTCCGCCCTCC